GCTCTAATCTGTTGGACCGAAGGTGACTATATACTGCCGAGATTTCGGTGCAGTGTTGCTAAGCAAGAGACAGCAACACTGGGTGCGTAATGCCAGTGTTGTGCCAATTTTCGACACCTGCCAAATTATTACCCCTTCTCGTTGAAATCACTATACCTGATTGCCTAATCCTAACCCCTACCCCACACCTAACCCTCAACCTACCAATGCTAAGGGGTAGTAATCTGGCGGGGGTCAGAATTGGGCACAACACCGACACCAATCTTGCTTTTTTTCCAGCATTATATACTCTGTGACCTACACCATTGACCTTGATCAGCATTGCTGCTCTGATACGCAGCATTACTCACAAGCACCCTTAAGGTTGGCCACAGTGAGTTGGGGCAAAAATGCCCCTGCACAAACAAATTAAATCTATTACGACTGTTGCTAACAAAATGAAAATTAATAGAAAGTGTCAATTGCGGGATTAAATTAAGATCTGATCGTGTTGCACCGTATTTCATTTTAGGTGTTTTTACAGTGTTGCGCATTATAACCAATCACACACGATTCTGTTGATCTTAGGAATGCAATGGCCAATCAGATATGTTCAGATGAGTCATTGCTGAAACTCATCAGTTTTGAGTGCACACGCGCTCGCTGACTGAAGCTGTTTCTCAATACCAAGTACGCAAAGTTCGGACTTGTGTCCTCGGTAGTTCGGACTTCGCAATAGTGATGGGAAGTTTGGATCATTTTACCGACTCGGACCTTTGGTCTGTCACGTGATGAATGAACGACTCAAACCCGAAGACTCGAGAGATGAACTAATCAATTCTCTTTCCGGCTCAGACTGCATTGGTTAAACTTATGGGGCTGTCACATGATGAACGAGTGACTCGGAAAAACCCAAAGACTCGAAACAGGTGAACTACTTGCCTAATTCCAGTACAGAACCTATATGATGTTGCGCATGCGCGACTGAACGAATCACTCCCCGAGACGACCCGTTATTCCCGAGTCACATTAAAGATTCGTTCAAAATAGACTCGGGAGTGCGAACTCCTGGGGATGGGAGATGTTATCACATATTGAAAAACGCCTTGAATTCCAGTGTTGTGCCGAACATGCATCGTCTGCCGAAAACTGATTGCCGTCTGTAATCACTTTTTGGCAAGTGTAAAACTGCATTTTATGAGTTTTATTGGCCATTTAAAGGTATTTCAACAGGTAAAAATGACTGCATGAGCTATAATCTGTCAAATATAACCCTCGAATGCAATCAAGTCATTTAACGTTAGCTCATGCAGTCCTTTTTACCTGTTGAAATATAACATGCAGTTTTACACCGGACGCGCAGATGTACAATGTAAGTAAGATTCATTTCACAGTGTAGACAGCTAGTGATTATATTTCTAATGTTTTTTATTAAATTGTAATCACGTTAAATACAAATTCAGTCCCATTAAACATATTTTACTAGCCTACATGACACCCTGGTTCTTGCCTAAAAAGACGGGTTTATGATGTTTGTAGTTAATAGATTTGACTGCTTTTAGCCGTACCCTGGAGTTGGTCCACCCTCCGCCTATGTAGGTGAACCAAAGGAAGATCTGAACTCTCAATTAAATGCATAACTAAACCTTTTTTTTTTTTTAACTAAACCTGTATGTAACTTCCGTTGACAATCATAAAATGTACCTTCGGCCTACAATAAACTAGTTATATACTGCCACCCAATGTTCTGATACATATAGTACAACCTTACAAACACCATCTGATATAAGACACATGAACCATTATAAAAAATGACTACACAAACAAATTAAATAGAACCTTTGTGGTCGTAAGAAAGCCTACAAATGTAAGCTGAGAATACTAAAACATATGGTCTACACTGTAATTGTAGAACTGTTGCTTGAGAAAATATATCAAATAACTGGTTCTTCCTTATGCAGTTTATTTTTATTTACTAAAGCTATTACCACAATTGCTTTGAAACCTATTAAACGTGCAAAGTCTCTATAATTTACTGAGAATTCTGTCAATTTTGATGAAGTGAAATAGCACTTACATTTGAATTAGAAAGTATGAAACTGCTAGAAAACTACAGTATACAGAAAAACTAAAAGGCTTGAATTTAAAAGTGTTGAGCCATTTAGAACATCCGTTGAATCATTCATCATTTTGCACTGATTCAACTTTAGTTATAGGCTCCAAAGCCAAAATATGTTTTCATGAGACTTTCTAACAAATTGTTTCACTTTTCAGCTTAATCCACAAAGTGGTATAAAATTTTAGTCAACATGAGTTTTTGAAACCTCTCAGGATATTCAGGCTTATTATCAAAACCATTTTTGAGTCAGCTACTGTAGGTTCTTATTCTTATCTATTAGGAAAAAAAATAAACATACACAGCTTCAAACAGGAAAAATGAAGCAAATCTTTTAGCCCAACAGTCAAATAAGACAAACACACAGTTCTTATGTTCAGCTGTTTATTTATTAAATGTCTGAATCTGTTTTAGCAACAAACAAGTTGCAACAAGGGAATAATATTGAAGCTTGTTTCCACCTCAGGATCAAATTTATTAAATAAAAAAATAATTGAGTTTTTATCTCACAATACTGACCTATTTTTCTTGGAATTCTGACTTTTTTCCTCATATTTTCTCAGATTTCCCAGCATTGCGAGCTTAACTCATAATTCTGAGAAACAAGTGTCAATTGTGAGATGTAAAGTTAGTTACCTTTTTTTATTTTCTATTCCGTGGCAGAAACAAAAAACAATTCTGCGTTTATATCTTGCAAATTCGACTCTTTTATAGAATTTCTCAGTATTCTTAGAGATTTCTAAGAATATTCTGAGATTAATTTTATTTAAATTCAAACTGAAGTCAGAATTGTTAGATTAAAAAGTCACAATTAACTTTTCTTTTTCTTTTGTGGCAGAAACAGGCTTCCACAGAATAGTGCTCACATTACTGCTCACTATTTAAAAGTCTCTTACTTGGTTGCTGGAGGTTCATTGGTTGAAGTTAAAACAGCAGTTCAACTCCAGTGAAACAAAACCAATTCAAATTTCTATCTGAAAAAAAAAACTGTCCATCCATTAAGCAGAAAAAATTGCCATAGTCCTTGATTAAAAAACTTTTAAATGCATGCATCATCTGAATCAAATGTAGGTTGATGACGTAAGACAATATTGGTTTCAAGTTTCATTATTACTAAGCAGTATGTAAGTAATAACCTCCAGCACCAATTACAGTTCACTGACACAGGCTTTAAAAAACATGGGTCACAAATGCAAGAGATACAATTAATCTAAATACAGGTTCTCTCATTTGTGTAACTAAACATTTAATCTGATGTACAACATGAAAATCTATTATTATAAAAAATACATATCTCATAAGATTCGACAAACACAGTACTCCATGTATTACATGAGGAGTGAGTAAATATGTATAAGTTTAAAAGGCTAAGGGCACCACTGTGACCTCAGCAACCCTCGTTAAAATTGTATAAGAAACCATGATTACAAATCGTAACATGTTGCTTTATTTTGTCAAGCTATCCTGGGAAGAAAGCCTAGAAATCAGTCAATAGAAACAGAGCCCTTACATTACCATTATTACAATTAGTATTCAATTTACTGCACATTGGCTGCCATTTTCAATGCTTTAAGATGATAATACATACATTCTCACTCCTCTGTTGAACTATATCTGTAATCATATCATGTAATAAGGATTTGTCATGAACATACTGTAGCTTTACCACAGCACTAAATGATATCCTAGACAAAAACTTTACATGCAAGCTGCTGCTACAACACAGCAAAATGACATTTTTGCCAACTCTGCACCAACCATTTAGAAGCACAGCTTGCTTGTAAAAATTCAGGAATTTCGCCATAGTTCACATTTATATCTATGCTTATTACTTGCCTAAAAACTATTTCAGATTAACTTAAATGGATTTTTCCATGCTGACTGCTTGAAGTGCATGACATTTGCAAAAAAACGAAATGCAGCATAAGTATAACGAAATGCAATGTGTCCGTATAACATGACAATGCTTCCTTATTATTTTAAACATTGAACCGATGAAAGATTAACGTAAACAAACTGAACTTAATCTTAAGTTTACTCAGTCTGCTGCAAAATAAACAAAATGTCTAGTGGTTTTTGTCTATTTCATGAAGAATAATAGAGCAAATAAATGACATTAATATGTAAACCAAGCTCTATAAATCATCATTAATGTATGCTGACAAAAAATAATCATTTTTTTTTGTTAAGAAAATATATGTGGACATCAACAAATGCAATTTCCTGCAATTCTTTAGCACCTCTACATCTTACCCATTTGATAAATGAATGTTGTATTATGATAATTTGTTGAAATTATAGTCTTTGGGATGAGTACTATGGAAAGATAGGCTAGACAAAATTATCTTGTGTGGAAAAAAATGGCATTAGACTAGTTAAAAGACCTGAATGTGCTTTGTATACAAATTATAGTACTAATATAATACAAAAAAAATTAAGGCATTGTGGAGTAGCCCATTACTAACTAACCAACACTGCCCAAAATAAAACCAAAAGATCATGTTCAAAAGAACTGAAATAGTTACTGACTAAATATCCCTCATAACCTAAAATGTCTGATATTGAAACATGACCATGAATCACCTGAAGTTAATACCATTTCTACCCACTTCAGTCATTTACATGGAATATATGTGCATTTATAGCTTTATAACAATTAAACCGACACAAAAACCCTTCATAAAGAGAAGTAAACAAAGATTACCGTTTTAAATTAGCTTAAACAACAAGTATTCTTATTTTGCAGCAAATAAATAAAATAAAATAAACTTAAAATTAACTTTTAAACCAACAAAATGCTTACTTCATGTCTGTTGATCAATTTCACCATATTACATTCATTAAATGTAAATTTTAATGTCATTAAAAACTTGATTTCTGATATGCATCAATGGAATTGAAGACCCCTGTAGAAAAACCATTGCACTCACTATCCATGTGAGATAAAATAATCACTTGATCATAACATTAGATCAAAGCAAAAGCTAAAGCAAAAACCAATGTCAGTTTTCGTGAGCCATCACGTCCAAGCCTCGTCCATTTTTTGGTCTCTCGCCCTACTGTTGTCCACAGCCAGCTGAAGTCCTCATACTCCACAGTCCATGTTTCTGTCCAGCAGTTTGCGGTGGAGGGTGAGCAGCGTGGAGAGGCAGGCCATGGACATGTGGAAGGCCAGCTGCCAGATGTTCCTCAGACCAAAGAGAAAAGCATTGCATAAGATGATGATAGTCAGGAGAGTAAAGGATTTCAGCTTCTTCTGGCAGGTATGGAACAAGTACAGATGAGACTGTAAAGGAAAAGAGATAAAGATCTGAGCTTAAACGGTGTACTGTATTTGATGGTGCTATAAATGAAAACATTAAATATTACAAGTGAAATGCCGCTGCAAGATTAATCTTTAATGAGCCGAAAAGAATGCATGTC